CCATTTTGATGAATTCCAGTTTGTACTTGACTTTTTAAAATGCCATTCAGGATGCACAAAACCGTAGGAGAACCTTTCTTTCAAAAGAAAAAAAAATTAGACTGCTTTTTGAGACCTCTAACCACGTATTTTTTAACACTTTAAATATGAAAGAATGCCCATTTTTAAAATACTGCTCAAAAATTAGCTGATTTGCTTTTCATCAGCATTAACAGCTGCTCAAAGGAGCAAGAGATGACCTGAACTCCTGTCCTCCCCTGACTTGTATGCCAACTCCAGTCCAATGGCTGTATAAAGCAGCAGCCCTAGGATCAAGGTGGCAGACCCTGCAAGCATGATCACTGGGCTAGTGCCATGATGACAAACCTGCCAGCTAGAGCAGTCTCACAGCTAATCTTCCTGTGCAGAGGAATGTGGTTCTGCCTATATAACATCCATGTAAAAATGCTTGCAGCAAAACTCCAACCTAACATACATTAGGAGCTTATCTACTCATGGCATGCTCAGGAAAGTCAAAGCAAATCAGCTGAAGGCCAAAGTTAAAGCCAGGAAATGAGAGTATTATTAGATGATAGCTACTTCTAAGAAGGAATACTGAGATGATACTTTAAAGCAATATACCCTTATTTCCAATTCGCAGTCCCAGTAGGGAACTTAGGGAATAGACGGGCACATAGAATACGCTGATTCCCATGTACTTGTTACAAAACTTCCTGCAGCAGTAGCTCCAACTTTTGGGACATTGAATTTCATTTGCTTCCCACCACATCAAAACCCTCCACACTCCAACAGGGTTAACCAGACACTTCAATGAGATGTTCTGCCTCTTTCCCCCCACTGGCTCTTGCTGCCAATTAAGTTTTGCCAGTATACGAGAAGTCACACCATGGATCTGTATTCTTGACTGACTTCAAATGCTTGACCTCATGCCAGACTTATGGCTATTATGGCCACAAGACTATCATGGCTGTATTTCAATATATTCATCCTTTTCACTACATACAGAAGCATACTGCCCAATTGAGCACAGAGTTACAGGGTTAAACACCATCGATTCTGCACCTGAAGCCTTACCTCCTTAAAACTCGCCCTGCAGTCACACCCTATCACATTGAAACAAGCACAAAATCAAACCCAAAACCCTGGAAGACTGGCTTGGTAACACAACCTAACCGGGCTTGCTCAAGAGCTGTGTGTAAATTTTTGGCACACATAACACTGGAGAACCTACGTCAAGCTAGTTCAAAAAGCATAGGTAAGTATTGCTGGAGGCTGGCAATTTGACTACAGGACTACCTAGGTGACCTGGTTTTGGGTAATTGCAACACCCAGACCTCCCCTGGGAAAATGGCCAAGTCCTATTGATTGCAGGGAGGTAAGAATCACTTTCTCCTTCTTTCCAGGTTTTACTTTGCAGATTATCCTCATTATCCCACAACAGGCACTTCACAAGACAAATCTGTTTAAGAAAGGTGCTCAGATACAAGATGATTATATACCACCAGCAGTTAGAGAAGGTATTACTTTATTTCCAGTGGTTATCTACAGCTCTTACAGCTCTCCACAAATGTATGCTGCCCAGTGTATCTGTGCTAAAACAAGTAATACATATTTCCCTTCAAGAGCCTATAGGAAAAAAAACCCACTTATTTTACAGCATCCATCATTAGAAGGTTTCTGGAGCCCACCCAGTAGTAGTAATAAAAAAAAAAAAAAAAAAAAAATCAAAACAGGCTAATTCCTCACTTATTTTCCTCCCAAGGCGTTCAGAAACAATCTCCTGCTGGTCTGCGCATTTGAGTTTATTTACTTATCCCTCTTTCCTGTTCCCTCTCTTTCCCTATCCTCCTTACTTATTTGTATTTCCTCACCTCCTTTATATTGTTGTCCTTCTTTTCACCTCTCTAATTCATTATGGTCTGCAGGGAAACTAAGTCAAATTGTATGTTCCAGCCTGAGCACAAGAAGACCGGTCGCTCTCATCTCCTCTCAAGATGAGTTTGAAAACTTAGGTCTTCATACCAAAACTGCACTGTCTGTGAAAAGAAGCATAAATCAGAACAGTAGTAAGAATTGGGAAATACCAAATAATAGAGTTACAGACAACAGGGTGCCTCTGGGCTCTGACACATGCTCTCCCACCACACACAGATACAAGAGGACAACCTACTTGGCATTGGCAAAATCCAGGCTCTGCAATAGTGCTTGGCCAAATAAAAAAACCAAACCTCCCATCGGAGATCGGAAAACAGTGGCAGGTCACTTTATAGGCAAACACCTAAAAGCAGGAATGTACCTGGACAGGGAAAAGTCACACAGCTCCTGGGCAGCCCACTAAGAGAAATGCATCCTGAAATCCTGCTCAGAGAGTTTCAAGTAAACACATCAGTGGTAAGGACTATTTGTGCAGACAATTAACAAACGACACAGAAGTCAAATATGGGCTTTCTGTAAATCCAGTTCTATTACTAACCCTATTTCAGAAGTCAGTTGATTTACTTTCTCTTTTCAAAGGATGGGTGTGAACAGAAAGACAGAAAAGAAAGCAGTAAAGGCACAGTAAAAACCAGTCTTTCAGAAAGTACTAGTCATATAGGTATCATCCAAATAAATGTAATTATATGCAAATTCCATTCTAAAACAGAACACAATAAAGTTACCAGAGACTGGGGGGTTCTATTTTGAGGCAATGTGCATTCATTCCCAACACCAAACCTGAAAGAAGGAAGTTTGGGAACCTCTTTTGGAAACCCTTGAGAATGCTCTCTGTTCTAGCACCTCTGTTGCTACTGTGGTAGGTCTATGTTTCTGTTTTCCTAAAATCAGGATTATAAAACTACAATCTTACTGCAATTTACCACCACTGAGTCCAGTAGGTCTCACTTCAGTACAACATCAGCCACTGCCTTTTCAGTCTGGAACAGCAACATTATAAATCAGTGTGAAGATGGAGGCACGGACCCAGAGGTAGAGTGCAAGCTGGATCGTTTATTGCAAAGATTACATGATATTTATATGCTTCAAAGCAATTAGCCAAGCACATCTGTGTTTGCCTTGCCGTTACACCAGGTGAAAGGTCCATCTGATTTTCTTATCGACATCCTCTTCCCAGTTCCAATGTCCTTGCTCCTTGCCAGTTCCAACATCTTCCAAGTACCAGTCAGGGATGGCTCACTCCTGACTGCCTACTGTAGTTCCTAATTCCCATGGTCACTCTTAATTGCCTGCCGTAGCTTCTCCTTCCCATGGTCTCTGACAGTTTCGATACATTCCACCCCCACAAATCAGGGACCTGACATCTTGCGCAAGGCAAAGTGACATTTAGTTTTAAAACAAAAACCAGAATTAAAAAAATCTTCATAAAAATACAAATGTGCACATTTATCAAATATTATATACCAATTACATGGGACCTTGGGCATGAAGACAACTTTATGCAGCTCACTACTGTCCTGTGTCCCTTAAGAGCCCCCTGAGCTCATTTCCCAAATGCTTCTTTAAACTCTTTCACCTCCTGATGCTCAGATTCTTCACCTACAACTACAGCAAATTAAGTCTAGAGAAATTCTTGCAGTGCAGAAAGAACAGTGCCATTTAACCTTTTACTGGTTTGCATTATTTAACCAATAATCTGAGCCAAGAGTTAATCCTTATAAAGTCCTTCCAAGCCTTGTAGAGTCTGTTCCTCATGGCAAAATCATCCTACACATACCAGGAGTTAAACCTCCAAGTTTTTCTTCTCTTGAGATTTTATATCTTTAAAATGAGATTATCTAAGCTTTGTTCAAAGAATTCTGAATTCAGTTTCAAGGCACAATCCATTAGAAGAAAAAATTTCACACCGCAAATTAAAAAAAAAGGCTGGGTTCTGCACAGCTTTCTACACGATTCCATTTTGGTCAACTAACTTGAAATTCATACATCAGTTTGTGCAAAACGGGACTGTAAGTATTCAATAAGACACTGAAACTGTGCATGAATTTAAGATTATGCATCAGTTTCTGTTCCTCGCTGAACTGGTCTCCTATATGTGATTCTTTTATGGAGATAAATATTTCAGAGGAAAAAAAAAAAAAGAAGACTTGCTAGAACTCTTCCATCCCCAAATACAACATGAAGACAAGAACACGGAAATAATCGTGGCCTGATATTTTGGTCACAGGTCTATTTTACTTTGTTCATCTGCATAAAATGCGGTACCATCTGAATTCTGCTGATTTGATTGTTCTCCCTCCTCCTAGTAAACTGATGCTGCCTTTTTGTTAGGATTTCACAGGATTAAATTGTCAAATAGAAAGCAACATGAACTCAGCAGGAGGGAGGAAGACAATTAAATCTTTCTCCATATCTTGAGAAGAGAGCAGCCAATGGAGACAAAGTCCCAGGCTTGACTACTACAATAGTGTTTATTCAGACAAAACAAGGAGTGGCAAATTTTAAGTGCTGTGACTTTAAAAACAGATGTGTCTTGTGTCTGTGTGACCATATCACAGGATTTGATCAAGGCAGGAAGGGGTGGTGGTGATGAAGTCTAGCTAATCACACTTGGCTGAGCTACAGGATCTTCTCTCTGCAGGTGCAGTGTGTTACAACTGGCTCTTCCCTGCAGTCCTCTCAGAGTCTGGCACATGTCAAAAAACTTTTCAGAATTTTAAGAACAGAAACCAAACAGATCCGGGACTGCAGCCATAGGACAAGGGGTGATGGGTTCAGACTGAAACAGGGCAAGTTCAGGTTAGATCTAAGGCAGAAGCTCTTCCCTGTGAGGGTGCTGAGGCGCTGGCACAGGGTGCCCAGAGAAGCTGTGGCTGCCCCATCCCTGGCAGTATTCCAAGGGCCAGGTTGGACAGAGCCTTGGGCAACATGGTTTAGTGGAAGATGTCCCTGTTCATGGCAGAGGGGTTGGAACTAGATCTTAACCTCCCTTCCAACCCAAAACAGCCTGTGATCCTGTGCTACAGCATACAGAAAAATCATCACTAAAGTATATCTGTGCTAACCATCAGTGATGCTATTTCTTTGTGATAGGATTTTAAAGCTTCAGCAATGCAAGACAATGCCGAACTGTAGTTGTCCTCCTGCAGACCTGTCAGACACTGTTCTGCATGGGAGAACTCCTTCAAGCTGTTCAGCCAGAAGTAGAAGTGTTCTGATGCCACTTGAGTGAGCAGGCTTTGATACAGTTCTCTGGCCATGTCACGGTTGCCCTGCAACAACGAGAATGTTTTTAAGAGGCGACATTCATGAAGGCTGTGCATTTCTATGACACAAATATACATAACAGAACAGTAACATCTCCAGAACTACTCTTACTTTAACGTTAGAAACAGTGACATTTCTTCCAATCATTTGATCATGACAATACTAACAATAAATAAAAGCACAAACGCTTATTTTATGGAAACAGCAGCCTGTGTATCTACTTATCTATATGTATATATATTTATACTCAATAAGTGTAGTACTTAATTACACAAGGTAATTCAACAATATGAGAAACAGATACTAAAATTTACTTTTATGACAGCATCTCATACTAGGGTTTCTACATCATTCTAACCCCACCTGTGAAAAGGGAAATAGTATCTTTTCTTTCCTTTTATCACATTGAAAAGAAGAGAAGCACACATCAGGATGGCCTATATCACCGTCTGAAGAACAGCTAGACAATGCAGATTAGGCATGTGCTCAAGAAAGTATCAGACTGTTACTTCCTTTCCAAATACTTCAAAAAACAAGTGAAAAACCATCCCAGTGGGATGACTGCCCTAAATGCCATATATCTTAATCAGCATTCCAGGGAATTAAGATGGAGGTTTCCAAATCCCCCATTCATTTCCTCCTCCCAAGTCCTACCACGTTCCTTATTTTCTTTTTCCAGTTCAAAGAAGTCAGTAGCACCCTTCCAACTGCACTAAACCATTTCCCTCCAGGTATTTCACTTACCATTCTGGAAGCCTGCCTAGCTATCCTGTAGGCGGTCCACCCATTGGAGGCATTCTCCAGCTGCTGTTTGATAACAGTTTTCATTTCTGAAGATAAAGCTTTCTGGCTGGAAACAAATATCACTGTGGCGAGAGAAACCTAATAAAGAATGGTAAGGAAGAAGGTTATATAGCAGGAGCTAAATAAAAAGGAAAGAAAAAGCCAGTTCTCTTTCCTAAGCTACCAGAAATGATCTGCTTGATTTTAGACTCAAAACTACATAGAAGATTACATAACCATTTTAACTGAGGAACTTCTCAGTCATGTATCTTTTAAGTATTTATTTAAGTAGCTTCATTCTTGGAGATGAAAGTCACTTTCATGTAAAGAATCTTTACTGTGGCTTTTAACTGAGATGTTTCAAATGCAATGAATGAAGTAACAAGAAGCTTGTAATTTCCTTCTTAAAATTCAAATTCATTTCCAAACAGACACAATAAAAGCATTTTCTTATCTCTTAGAGTGTATTAAGTCATGTGCATGAGAGTTACCAGACATGAAGTGAGCTAACTGCACTGAGTTAAAGCACAACTGAAAAGGGTGGCTATTGACTGGCACATCAACTCAGGCATAACAAATTACTTAGCCGACTTTCTAATAAAATCAATCCACGGTAGTTTGCACAGATGTTGGTGCAGGGCCTGCAGCACAAGTGTGATGGGGAATGGCTGAGGGACCTGGGGGGTTCAGTCTGGAGGAGAAGGCTGAGGGGGGACCTTATCACTCCCTACAACTGCCCGACAGGAGGACGGAGCCAGGAGGGGCTGGGCTCTGCTCCCAAGGAACAGGGATGGGACAAGAGGAAATGGCCTCAAGCTGCACCAAGGGAGGTTTAGATGGAGATGAGGAACAAGTCCTTCCCCAGAGGGTGCCCAGGCACTGGAACAGGCTGTGCAGGGTAGGGCTGGAGTCACTGTCCCTGCAAGCGTTCGCACACCACGTAGACCAGGCCTCAGTGCCATGGGTTAGTGGTGGCCTTGACAGGGCTGGGGAACGGTTGGACTTGATGAGCTTAAAGGGCTTTTCCAACCTGGTTGATTCTATGACTCTATGAATATAAGGCCTGTTTAGCAGAAGGAAGTCTTACCAAGAGTTCCTGTTTTTTATCTGTGGCAGATTGTCCAATTAATTTATAGAGGTCCATCAGGTCTCCTAGCATCCCATCTGCTAGGACAGGCAGCTGCATGGCAATAGCTGCTAAGCAATGGCACATGAGAATCCTGGCAGCATCCTGGGCGCTGTGTAGCTGGGTCAGCAGGGATTCAACTACTGACTGGCTCAGGTGAGGACGGCACTTGACCAGCTTCACCATGCAAGTTAACGTGATCTGCAACTCACACAACCAACAGGTACAATAAACATAATGTCTACTTAAAACTAAAAAAGCCAGACACACTTATCTGCAAGTATGGTTGCAGAAATACAGAAGACAAATTCAAGAAATTCTGATCTTTCTCACACCACCAGCCTTTACAGGAAAATAACCAGATAAAATTACCAGGAGCAGCTTATGAAGTGGGAAAATTAAAATAACAGTTTAGAGAAGTGTTGTAGTCATGTACCTTGCATCCCCATCTCCAAAGAGCAAGCTCTCTCCAATATTCTTTGTCCTCCAGAGACACCTCCATGCCATGCTCAACTTTATGTTTTATTATAGCTGTTCCTCTGAGAGGAGTATTAGTGTAGAACTTACAGCTGTGCTAGGGGATGACAACAGTAATATCACCTTTAAGGCTGCCTGAGCTCCTGGACTGTCATCTTGACTACAAAGAACAAGAAGAGCTTCTAAGCCAAAAACTGCACCTTGCTCCAAAGGCAGAAGATCTAAGAAAAGAAAACCAGAGTAAGTTAGTTCTCAGTCACATTTTCTGACCACAGGTGCTATAAAGTTTGGACTGGTGCTGCATTCACGACCAGTATCTTCCCAATACCTCTGCCTCACCTTATTTTGATTAGAAACAATTCTGCTATTCCATATCTCAGGTAACTTATCCTGCAGTCACACCAACTGTGGCATTTGTAGAGTGTAAGCCTCTGGACCAAGGCTTCTAAATGCCCTGTTACTCTTTTGCAACAGGCTTTGTGCAAAGAGTTTTCAAAGGCTGACAAACAATTCTAAATCAAAGATGGAATTTTTCTAACCATTCATAAAATCATACAGAGTATTCTCTGCTAGATTATAGGCCCCATTCTCCCAAACCAGCATGAAGGATCAGACAGATCTACAGACAGGTTCTCAGACATGACCAGTTAACACATGTTAAGTGCATAAGCCTGACTGTAAACAGACACATTTCACTGTCCTTGCTTTCATTTACCTTTTTCCTGACAAGAGGCTGATATATTAGTCAGAATTCTCACACCATGAGCTGCAATGCCACGGTTATTATGGTAACAGCACTCCTGTGCCAGTTTTACTAAATCAAATGACCTCGCAGTTGTAGCTGCTGCTCCTAAACAAAGACGAGGCAAACAGGACATAAATCAGCACAGTCCATAATTACACCACAGATCTCTTCAAGTACATTTCTACAGAAAGTCTATATTGATTTAGGATTATTTCTTTTCTTATGTTTAAAGGACAGGATGAAAGCATCTCTTTCTGCACGCACAGAGGCTCTCCCTCCATTCCTGAAGACTATACAAGTTAGAGATAAGAAAGAACATTTGGGTCTAAAGGCTGATGTTTCAGGGACTCGGAGAAGTATTGCCTTAAGAATTATTATATCTCATTAAAAAAGCTGGTGAACATATTAATTATTAAGACGCACCAGAATGACTGAAGAGGATGTACTATTTTTCTCTGTTTCTGCAGCCCATGTAGTTGGGCTTGTAATGACTCATTAGGGCAGTCTGGCTTTTGGGAAGAAAAAGAAAACCATGTGATCATCATTTTAAGAACAAGACACCCTGAATCACTTTTAAGTACCTGCTCTATTTCTTCAAAATACAGTCACAAGGCAGAAAGGTTCACCTCGTACTGAAGCAGGTCATTCCCACAAATGTGGCAAAGCTTCACTGAGCCAGGATAATATGTCAGCCCACACTCACCACCATTAAGTCTTCATGCTACTCAAAAACTATGCAAATCCATGGTTTCAAAGCAGAACGCAGGACAGCCACTTGGGAGGTATTACATTTCTTCATTTGATGAAGAAAAGTTGAAGGATCATAGAATCAACCAGGTTGGAAAAGACCTTTAAGATAACCAAGTCCAACTGTTACCCCAGGATCGCCAAGACCACCACTAAACCATATCACTGAGGGCATATAAGACCCAAAGGTAAGAAAATCTTTCATAAAGCACATTAACCACAAAATCAAGAAGAAAATCTTAGACCATACCATGACTATGCATGGGTATGCAAATATCCCATTTTAAGTTTTCATGTGATGAACACATTCAGACTCTCACCTAGTATCCTGAAGTTCAAAACCAGTTTAAGAACACACTACAAAATGTTTAGATGAAACTGATTATCAGTAGACAGACAGGTCAAAGCATCCAAAATGCCAAAGATAATCATATGATCTTGTTTTCTTACCTGGGGCAGTGCTGAAGTACTGTTTAATGGCAGTGGTCCCCAGTAACACGGAAAGAACAGAGAGCATGCCCAGCTTCAAGCTGTCATAAGGAGTGTGAAGAGCAGATTCACAGAGTGCCTAAAGAGTTGCAGGAGAAAAGACCTAGAGGGAAGGAAGTCCCATGAGTTACCTTTGTTCAAAGTTTAGTTGCACTTGGCTGTGAAGTTTTGAGAGTCAAAATAGACTATACTGAAATCAAAATTAGAAGTCATGTCCTGAAGCATCTGTTTTAGTAGTAGACTTAGAACATGGTTTAGAGAAAAAGGACAGAGGGTTTCATATGCTAGGAAACACCAACTCTAAGTCATTTCTTACTTAAAAATCAGTTGCAAAAATGCTATCAGTTCTCACTGATCAAATATTGGTGTAGATGTTAAGACAGTTCTCCAGTCTTAGAGACATACATCAGTATTTTGCCTTGTAACAGTTTGTTTACCTCCAAAATTCTTCTTCTGGAAAGAATCCTGCAGCTAATTGCAAATTTCCGTAACAAACTATAGCTTAAAAGAATGCATCAACCTGAATATTTTCTCCACGTATGTAGTGTCTTATTGGCCAACAACTTTAAATCTTGGATTGCAAGCCTCTTCACAGCCTTCCTGGGGTCATTCTTTAAGTACTGCAACAAAAGCTGGATCTGCAACAAAGTAAATTCACTGTTTAAGAGAGATGCTACTAGAAGGAAGGTCTTTTTAAAGGTACTTGCGAAGGAATTTTGAGCATACTCAGCCAAAACTAACTTGCCATATCTGTCCAATTGCTCACCACATGGAAAAGCCACTGCTCAGGCTGTAATGCCACGGCAAGCTAAAATAGTCTGACAGCTGATTTCTCCCATGCTGCTCTGCTTGTTCGAACATCCTTCTCTATCTTCTCTCACACCGCATACCTGAGAAGCCTTGAAAGCTGTTTTGACACTCTCAGAACTATCATAAAGTATCTCCAAGAAGCTCAGTAAAAAACCTTATACTGTTGTGATAATGCTCCTAGCAACTACTCTGGGATTTGAAGCAAATTTGGGTGGCTGCAGGTAACAGACAGCAACACAGACATCTTCTATGTAGTTGTCAAAAACAACCCCTGAAACCAAATCACACCCAACTCCTACCCACCCCCTTTGAAGCCTTGACCTCAAATTAAATGACACTTAACTGCATGCCCCTTGTGGTGTTCTTTTCCTGGAACTTCACAGAGATGGAAAGATGGAATAGCCAGCACATGAAAAAGCATGAATGTGCTGGCCATGGTTTTGCTTACCATCCCCACCCTGGCTGTATCACTTTTAAGCAGCACTGGCTGTTCTGTTACAGAAATACAGCCTAAATCACCACTCTTACCTCATAAAGGTAATAAATCACCACTTTTTTACCCATAGAAAAACCCAGAAAAGCCTGTAGAGTGTTCTAATGTTATTTCAGTTGGCTTAAATTAGGTACTGTTGAAACATCCTCTGAAATACAGAAATCAGCCACATCAAAAAAGAAGTTTCAGACAGATCAATGTCACTGATTTAACAGTAACAGACACCAGCCTTTCACAGCTGTACAGGATGGAAAAAAAGCAGTGACTTTCATGACTAGAAGGAACAGTTAGTCTCAAATGTCACTGTGTTCAGACCTGCTACATAAATCATGTCAGCAAAGCATATTATCAGAACACAGAAGTATTGTATTTTTCTATCACTGTTTTCCCACAACCTTGGTTTGTAGCCCTAAATTATAGGAACAGATTCAACCTCCTCAGGGTTCTTCAAGAAATACATTTTTAAAATGCGCTCTTTGCTACTGAAATATTCCTTTGCTTGCACGCAAGGAAGGCAAAACACACACCCAGGACCTGAGAGAATGCACAGTAGTGAGAAGGGAAGCCTGGGTTCTACAGGTAAAGTTCTTATTTTCAGCATCAGCTAGAATCTGAGGTCTTTTAAATGTACTTTAAGTTGAAAGATGTAATTAGGAAGAATTACCTGCTTAGGAATGTCAACCAAAGAAGCAGCAGCAAGCAGAGTAAAGGTGTGCAGAGTAACAGTGACCATCTTGGTAGAGGGATATGATGTTACCGGCTGCTGGAGCAGCTGCCGGGAGCTGGAGGCCAGGCTAGCATCATGATGCATGTGCTGTAGAATAGGGATCAACTTCAAGTCCACAGGTGTGGCCAAACCTGCAACAGGGAAGAGAAACACAGGCAGTGTTAGTCCTATGTACTGGCTTTTGGCACTACTGAGGCACAACTAAGTCTGCATTGCTACCACTGCTGATCGCCCAATAACTGATCTACCAGCATAAGGACAGCCGTACCAAGCACTTCCACGGTTCTTGGAGAAGACTATTCCTTGCTTCATTGTACGTAACACACATCTGGTGTCAACATAAAGAGGACATGGAGCTGTTAGAACAAGTCCAGAGGAGGCCACAAGGATGCTCAGGGGCTGCAGCACCTCCTTTATGGAGACAGGCTGAGAACACTGGGGCTGTTCAGCCTGGAAAAGAGAAGCTGCGTGGAGACCTCAGAGCAGCTTCCAGTATCTGAAGGAGGCTAACAGGATTTAGCAGGGACTGCAGCAACAGGTCAAGGGGTGACGGGTTTAAACTTGAACAGGTGAAGTTCAGGTTAGATCTAAAGAAGAATTTCTTTACTGTGCAGGTACTGAGGTGCTGGCACAGGGTGCCCAGAGAAGCTGTGGCTGCCCCATCCCTGGCAGTGCTCAAGGCCAGGTTGGACACAAGGGGCTTGGAGCATCCTGCTCTAGGGTGAGGTTTCCCTGCCCATAGCAGGGGGCTGGAACTGGGTGATCTTAAGGTCCTTTCTAATTCAAACCATTCAATGATTCTATGATTAACTTACCTGAAGCAACCTGTGCTAGGCTATGCAAGTTTATTCATCATGCTATAGATGAGCTTTCACTCTTTACCAAACAGGTGTTTTGAGAACTTAGATTTTAAAAGGATGTAAGAGCCAGGCATTAGATTAATGGTTAGCTAATTCAATTTAAAACCAGGAACCATTGGAGGATAAGGGCAACAGCGTCTAATATTTACATAAAGGTAATAAAGAATTCTCAGAGAAATCAGGTTTTCCCTTTTATCACTTAATATACACACGTACCTTGTATCATCTCACTGATTTTATTACATATGCCAGCAGCAAAATCCCTGTAGAGAAAAGACGAAGTATTAGGTGAGATAAATACAACAGGAAAATCATTACAAATTAAACTCAATTGAACTACCAAACACTGTGCTTTAACAATAAAAGCTTTCACAAAAGAGCCCTTGCCAAGATCTAGGTTCTTTTAGAAACCCTGCACACGGGCATGATCAAATGCAAGCTTCTAAGAACATGTCAAAGTGACAAGCAGCACTATGTTTTGTTCCAGAATATGATTTATGTAAAATAATCATTGATTAAAGCTGCTATTCCACTTTGCATTCCCATAGTTATGTGCTTTCCATTACTATTTTAGAAAAAAAAGAAGTATCTGTTAAACTTGTGCTCAGATTTCTTTACAATATTGTTATTCCACACAATTAAATGTTTTGCTAAAAATTACACGGTTGGCACTACCAAAGGTTTGTGAATGCCAGTGCTAATGGAGTTTCCATTCTCTGTGATATGAAAAACTGAAAACAGAAATGACATCTTACTTTGTGCAGAAAAATTGGCAGCAGCAAATATTGCAGCTTCGAATTCCACATTATCATGGGAATCCAAACTTTGACGAATACTGTGATGTGTATCCTTCCTTTCTGGAATGATAGATGCCATGCTGCCCAACATCCTACAGAGAGATCACAGAAAAATCAGGAAGAACAGTGATCGTGGAGAAATGCAAGATGAAACCAAATAGAAACTGAGAAGGACAACTGGTTAAAAGACTATTTTGATACAAATACATTAGTTTCTGTAATAGATGTGGATGAGCACAAACAGAATCACAGAATCAACCAGGTTGGAAAAGCCCTTTAAGCTCACCCAGTCCAACCGTTCCCCAGCCCTGCCAAGGCCACCACTGACCCATGGCACTGAGGCCTCGTCTCCACGCTGTGTGAACACTTGCAGGGATGGTGACTGCAGCCCTGCCCTGGGCAGCCTGTTCCAATGCCTGAGCACTCTCTGGGGAAGGAATTGTTCCTCAGCTCCACCTACACCTGCCCTGGGGCAGCTCCATCCTCCTGTCAGGCATTTGCAGAGAGCAATAACGCTAAAAGCAGGCATATAATTAAAAGTTAACAAGTTTTGTCATGTGGGTTATAGCAGTGGTTTAATAAAACATGAATTACAATTTGATACCTTTCACCTTGAAATGGGCGCAGTGAGAAACATCCCACTATGGCACTCAGAACAAGTTTTTTTAAGGGGCTTTTACATTCAAGCTCTGGTATCAACACAAGAGATTTAATGCTGAAGTGCACCCTAATAATGAGATTATCTAAGCTTTGTTCAAAGCATTCTGAATTCAGTTTCAAGGCACAATCCATTAGAAGAAAAAATTTCACACTGCAAAGTAAAAAATAAAGGCTGGGTTCTGCACAGCTTTCTACACGATTCCATTTTGGTCAAACTAACTTGAAATTCATACATCAGTTTGTGCAAAAGGGGACTGTAAGTATTCAATAAGACATTGAAACTGAGCATGAATTTAAGATTATGCATCAGTTTCTGTTCCTCGCTGAACTGGTCTCCTAGATGTGATTCTTCTTATGGAGATAAATATTTCAGAGGAAAAAAAAAAAGAAGACTTGCTAGAACTCTTCCATCCCCAAATATAACATGAAGACAAGAACACGGAAATAATCGTGGCCTGATATTTTGGTCACAGGTCTATTTTACTTTGTTCATCTGCATAAAATGCTATGAATTAATCTGTTTATTTAGATGGAAAATGCAACTCCTAATTAATTAATGTATTTGAACAGCATTTCAACTACTGCTTTTATATAAGGAGGCTTATGTTTCCCCCCTCTCCCTCCCAAAAGACTACGCATTCCTTCCTTGCTCATCTGCAAGGAATTTACAGGCATTAAATTAGCCACAGCAGCCTTACCTTTTATTCCCTGAATGCTATCAAAACATATTGAGAATTATAATAGAAGCATATTGAGAATTACAGAGGAAAAGTTAATAAAAACTTAAGCACTAGAAAGTTCAAACAAAAGATTTTTCCCCAGTTTATACCAAGACCTGGCTGCATGCAAAACTACACAAAAACCAGAGTCTAAAGACAAGTTCTCTCAGTGTCAGCTTTCAATTGAGTTTAGCTCATAAATGTCATCTGAAAGCAAATTTAAGATTGCTGCCTCCAATATTCATACTAAAATAGCAAGTTTTATGTTAAAGGCCACTGTCTGATACACAGGAAGAACCTTCTCCCCGTTTCTCAACAAAGCTTCGGCACCCAAGTACTGCGATTAACAAGGCAAGGATCTGATCACACTCCTTATGGAAAGGCTGATGCACATCCATTTATTTATTTCATTTTACAGTAACCAAAGCTGAAAGCTATCCATACACCTCAGAAACCATCATTGTTAACTTCTCCTCTCAAACATTATTTTTCTACCACAGCTTCCTTAAGGCAGATTTGATTAAGCATCACTGGGGAGTGTTCATGATTTCAGTTTCTGTGGCTAGTACTAGTAGTTTATCTAGAGTTTCGTGCTCTGGCATAAATTCAGTACAGGCTCTGGGACAGTAACTCTTCCAACATGAAGCTGGCATGAAAGAGAAGGATTAAGGTTTATAGTAGTGCTCTTGCCATAATGGTGTTGAGAGGTAAGATTGCTAAAGAGTGATAACAGCTTTTATTTAATCATCCACTATAACTGGGTGAAAAATTAAAAAAGGTACTCACATAAATGTTGAAGACGTTAAGAGCCAAAGTAGAACATATTGCCAGGAGAGCACAGATAGAGCATGATACATCCTAGAAAGCTCATGCATAGACCTGACCATTACACTGCCCTCACCTGGCACCACTACAGAAGATTATTTAACAGGTACCACACGTTAGGTTCTGCTCTTTTCACTTAGCATTTGCACTTCTGTCTCTCCATCTTTGCCAAATTCTTATTCCAAGCCTACAACCTGCTTTCTCCAGATGAAAACACTCCAAACTAAAGCAAATATATAACCCAGCAACACATTTCCACAGTAACAACAAATACTCCTCTCCTGCAGCAGCCATCAAAATCCATGCATCCTACACATAGACTTTCTAGAACATGCTACACTTCATTGCATCGCCCTAAGGAAGAAACTAGGCAGCCACTATGCTGACAGTAACTCATAGACATGTCTGTGAAAAACAATCACCCAACAGTTAGCATGACAACTCACAAAAAACTCTAACTCAGCTCTCTGTCTTCAAGGAAGACCTAGAAACGTCAAGTGATTAAGATTAATAACTCTAGTAGATATTACATACCCAAAATGGGAAGTAATCAAGAATTTAGAGAGATCCTTCGGTAACCCATTAAAATTTCCCCTCTTTTCACCCTAAGGGAACCTCTCCATGCAGGGAGGAAAACGGCCACCCCCACAGAGATAAGCAAGTCTCTTAAAGTGAGATCATGAACTTTTCAAGTGATGTGTGCAACAGTTAAGTATAGAAATTAAACCCTGTGTTTGTTTATCTTCTACTAGTCTGGGAGTGATTTAAAGGTTTTGTCCTGATAAGGAAAAATGCAGCTCAGAAGCTGAAGGTCAAGGAAACTGCTCAGCTTCCTTCCCTGGATTAAAAAAAGGGACAAATACTGAATTCTGTAAAAGCCTCTGACAAGTACTAAATTCAAGAAAACTGCTATCTGCCTCTGACCATCTCAGCAGTGAAAAACAGAAGCTCAGTAAATTATTAATTTCTGATCACATGCACAGTTAGAACCAAATGTAAAAGTAGCTAGCATTTGGGCATTGTTTCCTCTCTCTCCTCGTAACTTCACAGGCTAATCCTCCAGCACTTGTTTCTAGAAGCTGGGAATCCCATGCTGTGTGCAGGTTATGCTCACTTACAGGGCACAAAGACTCAGAAAAATGTTTCAGGAGCCCCAGTCCTGTGAGAACTCAGTTTCATGACTAACCCTGGGAACCTGTGGCAAAATCAATTCGATAGAAAGTCCAAGTTACCCAGAACCAATGCAGAAATACAAAATAGCCTAACGTAACAAGGACTAACTTTAAACAGCTGTACATATACAAATAATCACAAAACATGCTTTTTAACTACATGATAGACATGTAACAAAGAGTCTCAATACAGAAAATCTACAATCTCTGCTATATAGTCTTAAGCACCTCTTTAGCAACATAATACCACCACACAGGTACACTTCCTTTCCATAAGGCATTCCCTCCCCAGCCAGCATAGAAACAAGGTTAGACACAGCTGTAGCCTCCCGGACAGAAAGATCCACTCACTGCCCTGAGGAAAGGTAACGGAAACCTCACCAGGCTGAAGAAGATGGAGCAACACCTGCATCACAGGTTCAACCAGCTCTGGCAGGCCTGTAGCTCACCTGAGGAGACAAACACCATGCAAAGACATCTCTTCCAAGCCAAACCCAGAACGTGCAGTATTGTGTAGCTGTGCACACACAGTAATACTTGCTCAGTTACTGAGACATGTAGAAAGCTTGATTAGTATCTGTATGATTGCTTTCAGTACCCTTGCAGCTCCTGCTAAGTCTTACTCTGAAGGGCTTTTAGCACCTGGTAGCTGTACCAACCCTGAGGAGCACCAGAGCACACAGACACACAAAATAGCTTTCAAACGCATTTGAGATGCATCAATAGAAGTTTGTCTACGCAAGTATACATAGAAGCATTTACATATGTTCCTCATACTGCTTTAAAAAGTAAAGTCTTATCAGTAAAAGCAATAAGGCTCAACACTTTTACCTTGCTTTAGCTGCATTAGAAATGACTGCTTGAGATTGGCTGAAGCTCCTCTTAATGGATTGTGAATGGAGAACTCTTTCTCCACCTCCTGTTTTAGAAGCCTCTTATCCTCTTTCGATGGACATCTCTCCATGTCTCTCCAATGAGCTGGTTAACTCGCAGTCAAACTGGGAGTTGTGGCAGCCTCAGCAAGACCCCCCCACAAGCTTGACCTGAAACATTGCGATTAAATGCCACTTCCAAGTGAAGTGACACATACAGCAGAGCACAGGGCACACCAGTCCCACATGGTCAAGCCAGGCAGTCAGGCTATAGCTTGAAGTCCAGAATAAGAAACTTCACAGGCACAAACAGAGCTCAAGAGCAGCCTTCCCCCAACAAAGCCCACACAGAAAGCAAAGGCAGAGAGCTGGGTTTAAATAGGGCTCCTGGGTGTGGTTCAATGCACAGGTGAGGCTGCTTAGGGTCATTAAGGCTTACTGATGCCCTCAGGGCCTCAACGAGGCCACCTGAGAGCAAAGGAAAAATCCAAATCTATCCACTGGGCACATTACCACAGAGTGAGGGGTGATTGCAGTGCTGTGATGGGGTTTTATTCCCTCAGCTAGCTGCTTGGTCTTCCTCCTCACCTATCCCCAGAAGCATTCTATCAGATCAATGTTCTGTGCATGAGAAGACACAGCCAAGCAAGCACTTTATTTCTTTGTGGTCCAGTAAATTCTCTTGGAGGCTTTCTGATTCTGTTCACTTCTGGGAGACTTTGGAAGAGTGGGTACATAAACACAACCCTCAGCAAGGCAGGCACCATTCCGAATGGGTAGTTCGTAGTAGCCCCTGTACTGTTTATCTCACCCTACAAGGAGGCAAGGTGTTGACTTTCCATTCAGATCTGAACAGAAATCTAAGACAGGAATTTTGCCCGGTCTCCCAGAAGGAGGAAGGTAGAGAAACAGAAGACAACAACCTGATGTCAAAGCTGGAGGAGGGATCTGGATGAGGGTTAATGTGCAACTCTGGCAACCTGTTTGGCGGTTGTTCTGCATTACTGCAGAATTTGATAGTCTATATTAAACTTTTATAAGCAACAAGGATAAAAAAAATCAGCTACGCAGAACACAAAGCCTATGTCTACTCTTGAATGAATTGACGCTCCTTGAGATAACTTTTCTCCCAGCAGATGCCAAGATATTTTTCTTGACGCTTGACAAAGAAAATGCTGTCACTTTCACAGAAAAAAGAGAGGTAGAGGAAACAAGCAAAAAGTAATACAAGTGTTTCAAATAGAAATACTGCTGAAGAATTCCTGGAACAGGTTGCTTATGAAATAAGCAAATGAACACTTGCCAATTGTGCTTTCCTGAGGCAACTGGTATGGTATTTTGGGTTTGCTGGTAGTCCTTCTCCAGCTGAATTAATCCCCTTTGGATTTTTTCACCTTGATTCACCTAAGTGGTCTTGAAAGAGCTTTTTTGGCTGTCTTGACTGCAATTATTACTTTCAAGGAAAATCAAAACAATTGTGCAGTCATCAGCGTATGGTAAATCTTGCTCCTTCCTGCAGCTCGCGCGCCTGAGGTCCTCAGAGAGTAAGGGTTCAGTTTCATGAATCACTGAAAGGGAGCAATGTGTTCTTACGCTTTATCTCCCAAATCTAGGTGATGTTTCTCCGTACACGCTATACGTTTTGCCTCATAGAAAGGAGGTCTGCCAATGAAACGTATGCAATTGCAGAGAAGTCTAAAAAGAGAAGAAGGAAGAAACCTTTGTGCTATTACATCACTTAAAGTTGCTGAAGTAATGATAAATCCTTTATCAGGTTTTTAAGCCCATCCCAACATAGGCAAAGCTTCCAGTTTTCTGCTTGGTCTGTGCTAGACTGCTCCGTTGCTTATAGAAAGGAATCACATTTTACACCCAGGTACACAGAATCATAGAATAGTTAGGGTTGGAAAGGACCTTAAGATCATCAAGTTCCAACCCCCCTGCCATGGGCAGGGACACCTCGCTCTAAACCGTATTACCCAACGCCTTGTCCAACCTGGCCTTGAACACTGCCAGGGATGGAGCATTCACAGCCTCCCTGGGCAACCTATTCCAGTGCCTGACCACCCTAACAGGAAAGAATTTCCTCCTTATATCCAATCTAAACTTCCCCTGTCTAAGTTTGGACCTGTTACCCCTTGTCCTGTCACTACAGTCCCTAATGAAGAGTCCCTCCCCAGCATCCCTGTAGGCCCCCTTCAGATACTGGAAGGCTGCTATGAGGTCTCCACGCATGGATGACCATGTAGTGACAAATTTCCTGGCCTGTCCTTCTGCAGCCCCATGTTTTATACCCCATTGTCACTGTGCTCTTTTTTATTTTTTCCCTCTGCAGGTTCCTCGGGTATTTTTGAGGAAATCAACTGGAGAACAGTAGCAATTAGCATAGTGAGGCAGAGGCTCATTGCACTGATTAGCTGCTGGATGCCCAAGGGAGATTAAGAGACCAAGGCCAATTAGAAAAGAAAGGACAGGTAGAAAAAGGTCTCTCCAGGTGGTAAAAGGTATGAAATTTGTATGCGTGCAGTACAGCTAATGGTTGAAGCGGGTTTCGGTGTCTTCTGCCAGTTTTACAAAGCCGGCTGGTACCGTGACACTTCTTCACCTATCTAAAGGAAAAAAGTAATCTGGTTCTCATGCATGCAACAGTGAGGCTGACTAGCTAGGATTACCTCTTGTTGCCCCATGAAAAATTACATTCAATTGCCAGAGAAAAGGCTATGAAACTGTGGGGAGACGATGCTTCAATATGGCTCTCCGAGAAGGCCCATGTATCATAAGGCTACTCTGAGTTTGGCTCACACTTGGTAGAAAGCACTTCAGTATCCTCCTTCTCCTCCCCCCCCCCGCCACGCAAGCAGAGTGCATCAGTCAAAAGGACAACACCTAGAAGAAAAATGATAGTACTAGCTAGTTCTGAAAGAAAAAAAAAAGAGTTTTCAGTAAACTCAGGCACATGAGGCTAATTTGAGAAGGATGTTCCTACTCAGAAAAGTGAAACAGTTCAGAGAGGAGTTTTAAAGAAACAGAGGGTGAAAATCCAGAAGAATTTGTGACTGGTTTAAGGCTAAAGAGCTAATCTTGCAATTGCAGTTAGCAGTCACGGTAATTGAGCTCGTGATTAGAGACCAGACGGTGATTACAACTGGGAGAAAACACCCAGAGAAACTGATTACTAAAAGGTTTGGTTTCACTTGAAACTTAAAATAATAATAACACATGAATTAAAAAAAAAAAAAATAAAGAGAGACTATAGCAAAGACATTTATTTACGTCAGGTAGGTGCTGGGAATGTCCAAAGTGTTTGTTGCTAAAGCCACCACAGAGAGCGTAAAACTGACAGAAACAGAGCAGCATGAATGACTCAAAGAACTCAGAAACGTAGCACAAAGACCTCCTCGCAATGCTCTCATAAAATGGTAAATCTCAAGTCCCGTAAGCCCGGGAATGTATAAATGATTTTCCCACAAATGCTTTCAACCAAGGAAGTGTCAGAGTCCTCCTGAAAAGATGAGGTCAAACCCAGAGACCACTGATTTACATCCCACAGGTTGAATAGCATCCCACATATGCTCAAGCACAGAAGGTGACTGGGACTTTGCCCACATGTGGAAAATGTTAAGTGATTACATAAAGCCCAGATGAGCTGAAACAGCTATGAACAATTTAACGTCTTGGTCAAAATGGGCTTGGCAAACAGCCTACTTCCCTAAAATAGGAAGATGAGGTTTTCCATCTGCAACGTATGAGCTCTAAAAGTCATGCAAACTTGAAAAAGATTTAATAGCTAATGGCACAAACACATCACCTTTGACAGAAATCTGAGGAGCCGAGTTTAAACCTGCAGTACCTACATGTCACTGGCCATTTCTTCGAGTTCAGTTTCAAAAGGAGCGTCAATTGCTAGGTCATCTTCCAAAGCCGGAAATACCTACAGAAAGAAATGACCAAAATCATCATCATCATCATCATATTCTGATCTAAAAATAAAACTGCAATCAATTGAAATGTTGACCTTCAGAAAAGAGAGACATGGAGAAAGGTGTTTTGCACAGTCAACCAACCGAGTCCGTCATGGCAGCAGGGGAATAAATGATGCACTGGAGCAAAGCAGGCACATATGTAACGATGCTTGAAAAATGGGAAAACAACTGCCCTATACAAAACAATCTCATTTCCAATTCAGCCTCTCTAAAAGTTTCTACAAATAAAGAGTTGATTGTCAAATCCTATTTTTATTAGACCCACTGGTGGGATTCATATAATTTAATATTAGCTATCCAAAAGTGAGTACCTGGTCTAAGCTAGTTAGTTAGCTTCCTTCTCCAGTAAGTGAAGAAAATTAGGTACTTTGAGAGGATACATACTTTTCATGTCATTCTAGGACGGTTATCTAAGGTAGTAGAATCAATTGTTCTCTGCAGCAATTGATCTTTACTGACTACAGACGGCTACTGCCCAGTTCTCCCCAGTCTGTGATGGGAGCGAAAGCAGGACACACGCCAGCCACAGTACTGCAGACCTCGTCCGTTGAGCCCCAGACTTCTCCTGGTCCTCCAGCAGCAGCAAGATGTTTTTTACAGCCATCTCCATCCTTTTCTCACCTTAACTACCTGCATGCTGCTGCCACCTTATCTACCCCACCGTAAAGCATTTCCAGCAGCCACAGGAGATGCTAGCTTATCAGACTGCACCTCTTTAAAGATATTTTGTGCTCACCCATACCCCATCTGTGCTACATGGCCTGCTTTAAAACTCTCTGCTCATTTCCTCCCTCCTCCCACCAGTCTCTGATCTGCACAATCTGGAGCACTTCTGAGCCCCAGCGCTGGGAACTGCATTTGGGCCACACCTCCAGCTCTAAGGGTGGTGACAGCCACAGCCCTTTCATGCAGCAGAGCACACCGGTCCGGTTTGCCTGCCTTGTACTCGAGCACAGAGGCTGCTGCTGGCACTGCAGACCAGGGCTGATGAAAGCAGTCTGGGCATCAGCCATGCCAGCAAAGACATCTGCCTGATGCGGTTAATGAGCGTAACAATGCGGCAGCTTCAGCCTCTGATGTAAGCTATTTCCCTACTGCTACTTACTGTAGTTCAGAGAGGTTTTCCTCAGGTGACAGCCAACAGCTTCCCTCCAGCGTGCAGGCAGCGAGCAGCAAGCCTCTATTGGGAAACCCAGAGCTGAGCACACAAGGACTGGAGACAGCTCTGTGCAGGAGTCGCGTCAGTGCCTGTGAGTGCCTAAGACACTTACGTATCCCCCAGCAACTGAGCTAGTTATTTGTGCGTTTATCGGTCACTGAAGCCTGATTTTGCAGCAAGTGCTCTCACCAGCTGACCACAGGGAGGTCTGAGTTGCTTGCAGAGGCAAATAACTGCTTAACCAGGCCTGTTCGGTCATGGTGTTCCTTCCTAAATCTCTAAAAGCTGCAGGGTTTCACCACTTCAGTCTCCTGTAGGAAAGGCAAAAAAAAGGTACTTCAAATTCAGAGGTTAAATTCCTTCCAAAGCGCATTTAGGTGCAAGCAGAAATTCAGGGACGTATACACAGAATCACCAGTTCAGAGAACTGTTCCTTCCTGCAGGCCACACATACAGCCACCGTGCACAGGATGGGCCCTGACAAAAGCTGGTTTTTATCAGCCCGTGAACTCACACTCTCCACACAACCGGTTTGCTTGCAGAGCATCCTGCAGCCAGTGTGACACAGACTCGGTTGCTACTACTTACTTACATCTGATGGACTTGGCGGGGTGGCAGAATGCCTGCCTTGAGCAGGAGCCACCTCATGCAGCCCTTAATGGCAAGTTCCTTGTTTTGCACTGGTGTTCCCTCTTTCAGGTGTGTCCGTCTGCTTTACATCCACAGAATCCAACTCTCTCCTGGAATGCATGGGCTTACAATCTGGTTAATCCTTGCACCTCCCCACTGCCCTCACAAGGCATGGACAGCTACATGCCTCACTCACTCACTTAGGGTTTCAAGCATGCCTTTGGGAACTTCAAGCAGGAACTCAGATTCATCTCCCTTCCTCAGCTTTGAGCAGGAGCTCCAGGTTTGCAAGGCAGCCCAAAGGCTCAGAAACCTGCCCAGTTAGAGCCAGAGCACGAGCATGTCCACCAAGAGACGTCTGCTATGCCCCTCCAGGCCTTCACACTGCTCCTCCGTCTCCCAAGCCAGCAGACCTGCTAGAAGAGCTTTTGCTCATGGGCTGTGCTAGGCTTTAGGTTTGGTTGCTGCAATCCCTGCCTAGCTCATAACCAAGCTAAGGGTAATCTTACCTCACTTGCACAGCCTGGCCTAAGGAATCCCATTGTCACAGAATGCTCTCACTGTCTCTAGGGGTTCTTCTCACTGCTATTCCACCCCTCCATTCAAGATGCCACTATTTAATACAGACTGTCTGTTGTGTCCTATTGGAAGCGTACTTGGAGATATTTACTCCTAAACTGAGTAAATACACACAAAGCTTGACAAAGGACGCATCCCAGGTAGAGGCTGACTGAGGCAGCTAGCTTTGTAGATTCAAATTCACATTTGTGATGGGCAAAGTACACAGTTACTTAAACACCTCATTTTCTACGCGATACGCATCTATCAAGAGGTAGGAGGACAGTCTTACCATGTCTTTTCCTATTCCAGGTCTCAGAGCATCACACAACTTCTGCACAGCACGACAATGACTGTGTCCAGCAACTGCAGTATCACAAGTCTAGAACTTTACCACCGTGTCTGTCTCTTCGAACTTGCTCTGTATAACGGCATTTTCTTTTTTGGGGCTCTATTTAATGCCCTTGCCCTCTGGGTGCTCTCCTGCAAGATAAAGAAGTGGACAGAAACAAGGGTGTATGTAATCAATTCAGTCTTTGCAGACTGTTTTGTCATCTGCACCTTGCCTTTCATGGCTTATCTGCTCTGGAATAAGTCAGCCCGGGATGAACTCTGCCAGTTTACAGAGACAACACGTTTCATCAACATGTTAGTGAGTATCTACGTAGTTACATTTATCTCCACTGACTGATACATTGCCATAAAACACCCCTTGAAAGGCAGGGCCTTCAGGTCTCACAGTATCACAGTATGTTAGAGATTGGAAGGGACCTCAAAAGATCATCTAGTCCAATCCCCCTGCCGGAGCAGGAACACCTAGATGAGGTTACACAGAAACGTGTCCAGGCGGGTTTTGAATGTCTCCAGAGAAGGAGACTTCACAACCTCCCTGGGCAGCCTGTTCCAGTGTTCTGTCACCCTCACTGAGAAGAAATTTCTTCTCAAGTTTAAGTGGAACCTCTTGTGTTCCAGTTTGTACCCATTGCCCCTTGTCCTATCATTGTTTGCCACTGAGAAGAGCCTGGCTTCATCCTCGTGACACTCCCCCTTTATATATTTATACACACTAATAAAGTCACCCCTCAGTCTCCTCTTCTCCAAACTATAGAGACCCAACTCCCTCAGTCTTTCCTCATAAGGGATATGCTCCACTCCCTTCATCATCTTAGTTGCCCTGCGCTGGACTCTCTCCAGCAGGTCCCTGTCCTTCTTAAACTGAGGGGCCCAGAACTGGACACAATATTCCAGATGAGGTCTCACCAGGGCAGAGTAGAGGGGAAGGAGGACCTCTCTCGACCTACTAACCACTCCCCTTCTAATACAACCCAGGATGCCATTGGCCTTCTTGGCCACAAGGCCACAGTGTCAGCTCATGGTCACCCTGTCGTCCACCAGGACCCCCAGGTCCCTCTCCCCTACACTGCTCTCTAACAGGTCGTTAGGAAAGCGTGGGGTGGAAGGAGGGAGGCAAGAGGGATGAAAAACAGCAACCTGATGATCACAACCAGCTGGTTTGCGCCTGGTAACATGATCTGTCCCCTCCCTTGAAGCCTCACCAGGCTCAGTGGAAACACAGCTGCCCATGTCTGGTGACCACAGCACCAAGCTGCATGTTAGAAATGGCAAGGAACTGGTAAGAACTGGACAAAAATGGTTTGGAAATGGCCAAAATGGCTTAAAAGAAGTTAGAACTGGGCAAAAAAGGGTTAGAAATAGCCCAAACCAGTTCAGAGAGAGCTAAGAAAAGCTTAAAACAGGCAAGAAACAGTCATAAATTGTTCAGAAATAGCCAAAAATCCTTAAAACTATTAAGCAACAGGCAAAACTAAGATAGAAAGGGCCATCAATTGTTTAAAAATAGCCAAAAAAGACTTACAATGGGTTAGTAACAGGAAAAATGGATTAGAAAGAGCAAAAAAAGGCTTAAAACTGGTAAGAAATGGGAAAAATAAGATAGGAATTGCCAGAAATTGTTCAAAAATAGCCAAAAATGGCTTAAAACTAGTAAGAAATGGGCAAAAATATGACAGAAATGACAGTAGTTTGTACAGAAATAGCACAAAGGACTTAAAATGGCTTAGCAATGGGCAAAAACAGGTTAGATATGGAAAAAAATGGTTCAAACCAAGTCAGGAAAGGGCAAAAATGGGTTAGAAATGGCAAGAAATTGGTAAGAGCTGGACAAAAAGGGTTTGAAAATGGCCAAAATAGCTTAAAAAGACATGGGATTGGGCAGAAAAGGGTTAGAAATAGTCCCAGACAGTTTAGAAATAGCTAAGAAAAGCTTAAAACAGGCTAGAAATGGCAAGAAACTGTTCAGAAATAGCTAAAAATGGCTTACACTTAGGAAGAAACGGGCAAAAATAAGATAGAGAGGGCCATCAATTGTTTAGAAATAGCAAAAAAAGACTTATAATAAGTTAGCAATGGGAAAACATGGGTTAGAAACAGCCCAAACAGTCTTAAAACTGGTAAGGAATGGTAAAAAATGGTTTAGTACGAGCCAAAAAAGGCTTAAAACTGGTCAGAAATGGACAAAAATAAGACAGAAATGGCCAGAAATTGTTTCGCCCCTTCCCCTACCCATGCAGGTACAGTGTGAATCAAGGACCTCCGGGTAACACCCCCCTCCCCCCCGTGTCTTTACTCCCCCCCAGAACCGAGCACCGCGCGCTGTGAGGCTTCCCGCGCCGGGCGCCCAGAGGGCAGGAGACGCCGCTCTGCGCCCGCCCAAGGCCTCCCCACTCGCCCCGGACCCCCGCTGGCTCGGATCTCACTGCTACCTGCTGCCGCCGCCGGGACCCGAACCCTGCCCGCCGCCATGCTGCTCCCGGGCGCTGCGCGTGCGTCACCGAAACCCCGCCGCAGGGACCGGAGCCGGCGCGCGAACACCGGGCTGGGGCTACGAGCACGGCACGGGCCCGCCCGTACCACCGAGCAGCAGCGCCGGCCATTGCCCCCCGGAAGCCAGCAGCCACCACGTGACACCGGCCACTTCCGGGAACAGCTGCGCGGACAAAGGGAGCGCCACGGCTCATGCGCGGAGGCCGGGCTGCAGTACCCAACTGTGGACGCAGGATGGCAGCAGCGAGCGGTGTCTGGCCCCACACAGCGCCCCCCCCTTCGTGGCTGGATCGATTTTTTTCGGGGGGTTCCCCTTCCAGCATCCCCAGTTCCAGCTGTTGCACCCCTGTCTTCAGAGGACCCCCCCAATCCTCTACTCACCTGCGACACTAGGGTGCCCCAAACGACACCCCCTTCCCCAGATTCCCCACACCTCCGTGTTTGTTCCACCCCCCCCACCCCCCTCCGGCCCAAAGCAAAAGGGAACAAACGAACAAACAAAAAACATCTCAGCAAAACCTGAGGAAAACTGCGCCAGCGGTGCCGACAGAAGCACCGCGAGCAAACTCGATAGTGTCCACTGGTGGTGGTTGTGAGGATGAAGGCTCTAAGTCTTCCTCTAGGTTCAACTTTCTACCTTTTCTCTTGGAATATGCGCAGTACTTTCATGGCCGTTTCCCAAACCACCGGAGCAGTCTGAATCAGTACACTCCAGCACACAAGCACTCCCTTTTGGTTTAGGCCTAGACGAGTAGTGACAAAGGTCCTTCATTAACTTACCATTTTATGCTTTTTCTTGAAGCTTCTCTGTCTTAGTGAATT